TAATAACAACCCTGTGAGGTGAGTTAGGTTAAGAGAGCAAGTGGCCCAAAGTCATCAGCTGGTATTAATGACTAAGGCATGACTTCCACTCCTGGTTTCTTGTTTTCTAGCCTGATGCTTTAATGTTCTCCCAAATTAAGCGAGTTTACAAGGAAGGGTGCTAGTCATACAGAGAAATTGCTCTACATAAGCCCACTTTATATCAATATTTGAAAGCATGGAGGCTTATAACAAATGGAGGCAATGAACGGAACCATCCATTCTCAAGCTCCTCATTTCCAAAGGTGAATCTGAAGAAAAATAGTACTCGCATTGACTTGAACATGAGTACAGACCTTTCTAAAATCCAAGGCACGAGCCAGTGGTGGGTTTCAAATTTTTTTACTACCGGTTCTGTGGGCATGCTTGGTGGGCGTGGCATGGCATGGCTTGATGGGCGTGGCTTGGTGGGCGTGGCATGGTGGGCATGGCAGAGGAAGAATACTGTAAAATCTCCATTCCCTCCCCACTCCAGGGGAAGGTTACTGCAAAATACCCAATTCCTCCCAATCAGCTGAGACTTGGGAGGCAGAGAGTAGATGGGGGTGGGGCTAGTCAGAATTTTTACTACCAGTTCTCCGAACTACTCAAAATTTCCGCTACTGGTTCTCCAGAACTGGTCAGAACCTGCTGAAACCCACCTCTGGCACAAGCCAATGTTCCAATCTCACAAAAAGGTCTACCTACATTTAAGGAACATGAACTCAGCTTTTCTTTAGACCTTATCAGTATTTAGAAATCAGGGACAGAAAGGAGCCTGTATATATACTTTATTCTCTATCCAGTTAGCAACCCTCCACTCATTCAAACCTATGAAATTGGAGTTTTTATCAGACATTGAGAGGTAAGACATCAGCCTATATCCAATTCATATTTGAAGTCTGAAATTTAATTTTGGCAAAGTTTCATTCAAAATCAATTCCAGATTTCATGCAAATGAAGCAGTCGGCGTGAGCTTAAATGGACTCCAGAGGATGGTAGAGGACAGGAAGGTCTGGAGGAATGTTGTCCATGGGGTCTCAATGGGTCGGACACGACTTCGCAACTAACAACAACCTAGTTTATATGTATACAATTAGCAAAACAATCATTTTATCTTAAAGAAAAAGATAAAAATCTTTTTAAAAAAATTTTTTTTAAAGATTTTTTAAACAAATGCTAGCCTCTTTTAGCATTAATACTAAAAGTTGCATGCAGTAATGCTCTCTTTTCCTGTCTTTTACTGGAGATAATTATTATTATTACTTTTTCTAGAGTGCTTTCTTTACCTAACCTAGATGCTAATAGACCACCACTATTTTTTTAAAAAATGAAAAAACACCTTATAAAAATATCTTATATTTTACATATACAGTATCAGTAATCACTGGTTTACTAATGAAATTCACTAGCATAATATGAACAATGCAAAATATTGTTGTAAGATATCACAAAATCTGTGCGATAGTAAAACATATTGCTGCATTAGCAGAAAATACTGCCTTTTCCAAAATAGATACATCACACATTTCCAACAGCTATTCCTTGATATTTAGAATAATATAACCTTTCCAATTTCTCATTGTGTAATTATTTTAGCCACCCTTCATACCTCATACAAATATAATTTCTCATAAACAGTCACATTTCAAAGTTTTGGTATATAATTCAATATTGTACATTGAACTATATACCAAATATGCCCAATATTATTTGTGTGTGTGTGTGGTGTGTGTGTGTGTGTGTGTGTGTATAGGTGACATTTCAACGAGGTCCCACTCGTCATCTTCAGGCTGGTGTCTTCGGCTTTGTGCTTTCCTCGCACAAGCACAAAGCCGAAGACACCAGCCTGAAGATGACGAGTGGGACCTCGTCGAAACGTCACCAAGTTACTCTCAATCTTACACGGGAAAAGACCCGAATACACCAAAACTTGCATACCTCTACCTGTGAAACTCTACGAAAACAGACGGCTGGAAGGGCCTATTACACGCGCAAGGGCTAAATTGATTAATGGCATATAAAGGCAGAGATCTCTATAATGATAGTTTAATACTCTGATGATGTCAGCAGACGGCTGACGAAAGCTTAGTAAAATAAAATTTTAATTCTTTTAAAATTTTAAAATCTTAAAGTTCCGGAGTTCGCAGTCCGGTCTACCCCAATATGGGAGGGAGCATACTGTTTCCCTTTTGCCTTTCAGCTCCAATCCAGAAGCCCTCAAGCAGTCGCATTCACTCTGCAATATACATTAATACACTATCACAAAAAGATACTAAATAACCAACATGACCATATTCTATGGCTCAGTGATTCTTAAATATTTTACACCTCTAGGATAGAAAATCTATGCTCCATCCTTTCAGCCATGTTTGTTTCCTTGGCTGCTCTTCACTGTTCATGATGTTTTCCAGTATGAAAATCCAAGATGGAAAAATCTCAGTTTCTAATTTCAATTTAACAAAATTGCGAAGTTTGGACAAGTGCAAATTTCAGATGACAATTTAGCTTTGTTTCTCATTTCAAAAAAATCTGAAACTAGGTAAGACTGCATTCAAATGAGAATTAAACAAATGTTAGCCTCTTTTAGTGTTAACACTAAAAGTTGTATACAGTAGTACTCTGTTTTCTTGTCTTTTACAGGAAATAACTAACATTTTACTTTTTCTAGAGTGCTTTCGTTACCTAACCTGCTTACAAATATGGCCACCGCTAAGAATTGAGAAAGTTAAAGCCTACATATCTGGAGAATGCCTATGAGTAGGAAGGTTTGGCACTAAATAACCATTCTCAGAATCTTTCTGCAATCTTTGTGCAACTTTGTGCACATTCAATGTACTTCTGTATTACCTACAAAAAAAAATGGCCAATCACGAAATGAAGTAAGTATGTTAAAAGAGAAAGGAGGAAAGATGATAATAAGGGTAAAGTCAGCAAGACAGGTATTTTCCCAGCAGCAGGAAGGTCATAATCAGGTTAAGGCATATTTAAATTACTTGAAAAAAGATAATGTACTTTGTGAAACAGTAGGAAAATTCCATGGCTTTAAACCTTTGGGGAGGATATCTGAGTGACTGAAGGGATTGCTTAATACCATATTACACATTAGTTCAGGGGGTGGATGACTAATGACTTTAGAGTCCATTTATACACCAGTGCCCTTGGATTATAATATAAATCCCATTAACAGTTCCAGACAATAAATTACCAAATTGTTCTAAGCCTTCAATTATTTCTTTACTTTCACAGAAGCTAGTCATTTTAGCTTTTATTTACATAACTAATAGAAGGAAATAAAATCCAGTAAGAGTAAAGAGAAGTGCAAGTGTCTTTCTGAGTTGATTGTCCAGGTCAACTATGCAGCCCTGCGGTAAAGTGTAGGGAGATCTCTAATTTCCAGTTTTGAAGTTAATGAAATTAATGAAGATGGTCTTTGGGTTTTTGTCAGGATTTGCCTCTGAGATAGAAATGAAATCTAAGAACTTCTAAGTAAATCTAAGAAGAAATCTAAGAACTTCTAAGTAATGGTTACTGCCTGACATCAGTAAGGCTTAAAATAGCAGAACTAAAACAAAATGCCAATAATTATAGAAGATGGTGGAGATGGAGAGATAACATTCAAATCCACTAGTGAACACTTTGAATACCCTTGTTCAGTACCTGAGGAAATAACCAGGCTTTCAATGATTTCTTGAAGGCACAGACAGAAAAGCTGGAGCTTTGATGATTTTTGAAGGGCAGAGATCAGGTCAAGCAACAGTGCATTTTTTTCTTCATCTTGCCATACTGATATTTATATTAGTTATAAATATAAATATATTAATACAGTATATATTCATCAGTGGTGGGTTGCTCCCGGTTCACCCCAGTTCAGGCAAACCAGTAGTGGCGGCGGCGGGAGTCCACGCCCACCCGCCCAGACATCATCAGAAATGTTCTGCACCCGTGCCCAGGCGCTACCAATAGTGAACCGGTAGCGCCGGAATTTGAATACCACTACTGAGATTCATTCATATATATTTATAACTGATAACATGGAATGAAGGAATACTTAGATCTCTTTGCATTCACCCCCTGCACTGAATCAAACTTGGACTTTTCTCACCTACTCTTGAGTAGTCTCCCATGGCATGTCTAGATTGGCCCCAAGATACTGTTTAACTTGACTTTCCAAACAAATCCTGAGAGCTACTAGCATTTCTTTCATGCAGAACTTTTCTGATAACTTTTACTAGAAGTTAGAAATAACCGGCATGATCCTTTAAAGAGTAAGTATCTGGTTAATGAATAGCAATTAGTTAAGTAGTGTTTTGAGCAACTCAATGTACTTCTGTGCCTCCCACATAAAAGAGTGAAATGTATGTCAACCGTGAAATACAGGTCAAAAGAAAGAGGTGAAAGGATGACTATGTGGATAAAGGAATCAGCAGGTTAGGTATTTCCCATTAGCAGGAAGATAGAAATATAAAAACCACATAAAGTACTTCAAATAAAGTAATATGCATTCTGAAACAGTAGGAAAATCCCATATCTTTGAATCTTTGGGAAATATATCCATGATTGAAGTGATTCCTTAATACAGTATTATACATCAGTTCAGGGGGAAAAATGAACAATGATGCAAGAGCCAATGATGCAAGATGCATTTATACCGCAATATCCTCGAGTTATAATGTGACTGCTATTAACAATTCAAGACAATAGATTATTGTTCTCTCATGGTTTCCCACAGCATGTCCAAGTTGGCTGTGAGACACTGGTTTATAGTTCCAGTCAAATCCTGAGATCTAATAGTATTTCTTCCAAGTAGATCTTTTCTGACAACAGTTGATAGCAATAGCAATAGCATGTAGACTTATATACCTCTTCACAGTGCTTTACAGCACTCTCTAAGTGGTTTACAGAGTCAGCATCTTGCCCCCAACAATCTGGGTCCTCATTTTACCAACCTCAGAAGGATGGAAGGCTGAGTCAACCTTGAACCGCTCAGAATCGAACTCCTGAAGTGAGCAGTGAGTTAGCCCAGCAGTACTGCATTCTATCCATTGTGCCACCAAGGCTCATAGATAGACGGGAGAAGCAAACTGGCATGAATCCACAAATAATAAATACCTGGGTAATGAATAACAATTAATTAAATGATGTTTGGTACACTGTTCTGCAAATTTTGGAAGTCAGGTATCAGATAAGAATAGAGAAAATAGAGTTGCTGATTATTGTTGTTGTTGTTGTTGTTTACTTTATTCATTAAACATGAAACTCAATCAACTGAACATTCAAAAATGCATCACAAATACCATTGACTGGTGCTAATGGTTGATATGGGTTGCTGCCAGCATCCTAGGTATCAACTAAGTACCTTCTTAAGATGTACGATGTTCCAAGTAGCACAGTTTTTTGCAGTTCCACTGGTGTTATTACAGGAAGCTGCAATTTGTTGATGTAACTTATAAAATTCTTGGACATGATACCAAATGTCCCTATGTACACTTGGACATGATACCAAGTGTACATAGTGACAATGGATATCACTATTACATGTTTCATGCATAGCTGTATAGTTTTGATGGCCAGGTTGCGATATTTCGTTATTTTTCCAGTTCTTTTTCTTCAACTCTGGCATCTCCTGGTACCGTGATGTCAATAAGTTGTACATTTTGGTTTTCGACAACTGTGATATCTGGTGTGTTGTGTTCCAAGTGACGATCTGTCTGTATTCAAAAGTCCCACAAGATTTTCACCTTCTCATTTTCTATAACTTTTTCCACTTTATGTTCCCATGACTTTTTAGACACGACTGAGTTGCTAATTAATTGTATTTTTTACATAATGACCAGTGGATTAATTAGCAACTCAGTCGTGTCTAGCTTTGTAATCAGTTTGTGTGATTTTGTTGCATTCACATATTAAATGTGAAACAGTTTCGACTTTGTTGTTGCAAAGTCGGCAGTTTGGATTGTCGGTGGATTTTTGTATCTTTGCTTTCATGGCATTAGTTTGTAGTGCTTGTTCATGAGCAGCAAGTATTAAACCTTCCATTTCTTTCTTGATGTTCCCATCTTAAGCCATGCCTATGTAAAGTTGTCATCATGTTTTCCTTCAATGTTTTTTAAGTGCTGTCCATGCAAAGCTTTGGTTTTCCATCTATTTAATCTGTCATCCAGCTGTTTTTCCATATATTCTGCCTTTATTTCTGTTGTTGTTCTCTGTTTTCACAGCCTGCAGCAATTTTTCTGTACTTTGGTTCACATAATCATTCAAACTTCATTTTTTTTCTTCTACAGTTTGATGGATTTGCAATAGTCCTCTGCCCCCTATTTATCTTGGCAGGTACAACCTGTCAATGTCACTTCATGGATGTAAAGCATGGTACATATTCAAAAGTTTGCACATTTTCTGGTCCAAGTTTTCCAGTTCAGCCAAAATCCAGTTGATGATTCCAGCTGAGTAGCGTATCACTGGAAATTATTATTATTATTATTATTATTATTATTATTATTATTATTATTATTATTTATTTATTTATTTATTTATTTATTTATTTATTTATTATGACAGCATACACAGCAAACGAGATGACCATGCTGGATTTCGTATCCCAAATCACTAGTCGAACACTTCCCAAGCATTTAGGACTGTGTGATGTATCAGCGGATTATACAAGCAGATCCTAGCAAGGTGGCCTTCTGCAGCTGATCAATGGTGATCTTGTCAGCGCCAATTGTTTTTAAGTGCTTGCCTAAGTCTTTAGGCACAGCACCCAGTGTGCCGAGTACCACTGGAACCACCTGCACTGGTTTATGCCAGAGCCTCTGTAGTTCGATTCTCAAATCCTGATATCTGGTGACTTTTTCAAGTTGTTTCTCATCACCAAGTATGGCAATGTCAATGAACCACACTTTTTTCTTCTCCACAATTGTGATATCCGGGGTATTGTGTTCAAAACTTTATCAGTCTGTATTCGGAAGTCCCACAGTAGTTTTGCATGCTCATTTTTGACCACTTTTTCAGGCTTATGATCCCACCGGTTCTTTGCTACAGGCAGATGGTAATTGTGACACAAGTTCCAGTGGACCATCTGAGCGACTGTATTATGACGTTGTTGGTAGTCAGTCTGAGCTATTGTCTTGCAACTGCTCAGTATATGATCAATGGTTTCATCCACTTCTTTGCAGAGTCTGCATTTGGGGTCATCAGCAGATTTTTCTATTCTAGCTTTGATTACATTCGTTCTGATGGCTTGTTCCTGGGCTGCAATAATCAAGCCTTCTGTCTCTTTCTTCAGTGTTCCGTTGGTCAGCCATAACCAGGTCTTGGCTGACCAACGGAACAGCCAAGACCTGGTTATGACTGACCAACTGAATTATTATTATTATTATTATTATTATTATTATTATTATTATTATTGTTGTTGTTGTTGTTGTTGTTGTTGTTGTTGTTGTTGTTGTTGTTAATTTTTGGTGAGATTCACAGCCTTTGAGGCTGGTTAATAGCTCAGCAGCTCGAGTCCTAACCAAGGACCTAGGAAGTGTTACGGTATTGTTGGAGGATGTAAGCTGTTCCGAGTAGGGTGGGGTTTTTTAGAGTAATTATTATTATTATTATTATTATTATTATTATTATTATTATTATTATTATTATTATTATTTAGTTTGGCACACAGTCAACCCAGATGTTTAGACTGGATATAGCATTTTTGTCCACACGTTGACTCTTTTCAAAGAGCTTGGAAAAGGCAAACATTGTTAAATATGAAAGGTAATTTTGCAGAACATAAGCTGTTCCAAAGTAAAGCTACCTTTCGTAATTGACTGGTGGTGATTTTATCAATGCTGATGGTATTTAAGTGGTGCTCCAGATATTTTGGAATGGCATCCAAGATGCCTATTATTATGATACTATCTTTGCTTTCTATTGCCTCAGTCATTCTATTTGCAGGTTTTTATACTTCGTGATTTTCTCCAGTTCCTTTTCTTCTATCCAACTCCACTATCCAGATTTTTTTTTCTTTCTAATCAACAATTGTAAAATCTGGGTTGTTATGTGGCAGTTGCTTGTTCGTTCAAATTCTAAATTCCCAGAGCACTTTAGCTTCCTCATTTCCTACTACTTTGTCTGTTTGCCTGCCTGCCTGCCTGCCTGCCTGCCTCTATCTATCTATCTATCTATCTATCTATCTATCTATCTATCTATCATCTATCTGTTTATTATTAAATTTATATGCCACTCATCTCTCTGATAAGATGACTCTGGGAGGCATACAGATCATAAAAATATAAACAGGAAAGCAGTTAAAATTTTAAATATACTTTTTTGTTTAACTATGTGGAAACTATCAATGGTTCCATCAGTTCTTGCTTGCAGATATTCCAATGCACCATTATTTATTTATTTAAACTAATTATTATTATATGGTCATCTCCAATTGAATTCACAGCCAAAGATGGGTAGAAATATAATAATTTAATCATTTGCGTCATAACTAGAGACCTAAAGACTAAGAATTAATAAGATGGATTCTTATTAAGAGGATGTAGTCCCAAGCAGGATTTTTTTTTCTAACACTACTGTGTTTCCCTGAAAATAAGACCCTGTCTTATTTTTTTATTTTTATTTTTTATTTTTTTTGAACCCTGAAATAAGCGCTTGGCCTTATTGCCATGTGCTCAAAAGCCTGATTGGGCTTATTATCAGGGGATGTCTTATTTGGGGGGAAATAGGGTAGGGTGTTCAGATCTGATAAATTCAAAATTTTCAAATATCAATGGAGTCCTTTTGATACTATTTCAAAGGCTCCAATCATGATTGATATAATAGTGAATTTCTTTTTCGGTAAGTAACTACATGGGTTAAGTCCATGCAGGTTTCTAGAGGACATTTTCAGAAGTGGTTTGTGATATACTGTATGCCTGGAAAAAAGTTGCCAGAACATGTTTGTGTCATATTTACCCAGAAACAGCAGCTCAAATAAACTTCTTTTTCCATAAGTGTTCAGCTTCAATTTGTAAATTTTGATTTTTCATTTTTTTCTGGTTGCTTTTCCTCAGTCCTAGCAGCATCCAGTATAACATCACCAATGCTCTAGACTTACTTATTTATAATGAATGTTATATCAAGAATGTTACAAATAAGGTGCCTGCCTGCTTGGATTTTAAAGTCCCGTAAGGTCTTAACCTGCTCCTTTTCCAAAACCTTCTCAACTTGATGGTCCCAGAGGTTCTTGCTAAATTCAAACTCAAACCTCTGGCAAAGTTTCCAATAATTTTGGCAATTCACTCTTGACAATTTTGTCCATTTGTGAAATTTTGCTATAGCCATTGATCAATTCCTTCATCTTTTTCACTACAATGGTGACATTTACTATTGATGAATTCTTAATGAATTTTCATTTTCATGCAATTAGTTGACAAAGTTTATTCTTGAGTCACTAAAGTAAAGCCTTCCATATTTCTTTCTTCCAGATCTTATTATTATTATGGTTTCTTGCACAATCAGTGAGACGTTTAGACTGGATTACTCAAGTACCCTCTTTCTCATTTTCATCTCCAATAACAGCAAAATTTCGAGACAGGGAGCCCAAATAGACGAGTAACACTTTACATGAAATTGTAGGTCATAGTAGGTAGGTCCATCAAGGAAACTGATGAAATCATGCTTACCGGTGATTATATTTTCAAATGTTGTTAACCTAGACTTGGAAAGTTTCTTTATTATTTTAAATAACATAAAACTTTCTATGTGTCCTGTCTCAACATAGCAAGAAAAATGTCACTAATTTTCAGCACAATTGGATAAGACCCAGAGGCCACAAAAAGTTTTTTGAGGGCAACATGAGACTCTTAAATTATATCAGTTGCCTCTATTTGAAACTTATAATAGAGATTAGCTACATCCAGGGGTGGGCTGCTGGGGGTTCACAGAGGTTCGGGAGAACCTCTAGTTAAGATTCTGTGAAGTTCGGAGAAGCCCCAAATCCCATTCCTGGCTGGTCCCACCCACCCGTACCCTCCCAGGAGTCCCCACCTGGCCCGTTTTGGATGCAGGTAAGTGCAGGGCATACACGGAGGATCAGGAAGGGCAAAAAATGGGTCTACCAGAAGTTCAGAAAGGCCAGAA